GAGCCCTGTCTCTACATTGTCATTGCGACTTTCTCGGTCGTACAGCTAGATGTCGAGACCGTATCAAGTTGTGGTTAATACAGTCGCGATCATACGATATCTAGCGGCACGCCAAGAAAGACACGAAATGCAGTGACATAATGCCAATGTGAAGACAGGGCTCAGGTGCACAGTTAAAACATCGCACTATATGCAGACGTTCGAAGCTAGCAGCGCCCAGACACCAATCTCAACAAAATTATAATCAAAATTAGAAGCTATTCCGAATTTTAGGTTATTTTGGATTTTCCGAAATCGTGGACGCTGCTGACACTAAAGCTAGCGCGCCCATCGAGGAAATTCATCTCAAAATCAATTAAAACATATGAAACCACACGAAATTCAAGTCTAAATTAAGAGCTAGTTATGCACCAGGGGCGTTAGAAGGATGCCAATGATCCATCGGCGACCAAAAGCGCGAGGGCATTCTGTTGCCGGAGATCATTAGAACCAGTTAATGCCCGTGGTAAGTGATTTTTTACCCAACTTTACCGATTCAGATTTACTTTCTAATTAATTGGATTAACTTTACTGTCATTTCAGATCTCCCTCGATAAGAGAACATATTACATCATTCGATTGTTTCCTTATTTCCATCTTCACTACGATCTTCTCGATCCATACAAGTTCTACAGTATGCCGAGCTCCGTATTGAAGGCAATAAGCAATAACATCAGTAAGAAAATGCATTAACACGAGTGGCTTCACCGGCTAGGGCAAGAGACTAAAATGTTGCAGTTTCAGAATTCACGCCAGTCGAGTGTGAAGCCAAACTTTCCTTCATTTTGTGAGGCGAATGAAATAATTTTAAGTTCACATGAGTAGGAAAAGTACGACTATCACATCAGAATATTTAAAAATTAATAAAATTTCAAATTACTTAATATACCATTGTTATATAAACTTTAGCCTATTGTTGAATTTATAGATGTTACTCTTCGCTTAAACATGTGTACTAAAAAGTAAATACTAGTTCTCGTTATGAATTAAAGCAATTAATATGGTGATGGATGGGTTAGTACAAATCCCATTCTACAAATGTGACCATTGTAAATTCTGTAACACCTATGATTAATAGCGCCGCGAAGATTCGAGAGTTGACAACCCTAATGAAATTTAAATAATATTAATTTAATAGCTAATCTAATGGCGTATCAAGGACAATAGCATAATGCAAGTTGAACAATTTAAGTCCCCTGGGTAATTAAAGAAGGTTATTTGCTAATTTTGTTCAACGAACCTTTTTAAATTTACTTTTACTCAATTTGCAATAACAACCATTTCTGAATAATTTATTAATTTTCAGGGACTATGTTGAAAGACTTCCATCTTGCACACCGTAGCTCAAAGCTAGTGTTCAAGTAAGAAGTAATGAAAGAAATTATGTGGCAACCACAATACTGAGAACAGTCCTGAAGTGCACGAGACAGCTCTCTGTTTTGACAGTACAAATAAGGTTCCTCATCACCCCTGAAGAACACTCCACAAGGCGCACATAACGTTTGAAGACAAATGTTTTTCAGCTTAACGACGAGTAAGTGTTCGTGAAGTCTTCTGTTCTGCAGATTTTCAGAACACTGAAGTATACTATCGAACGTTCTGCTGCGTCAACACTCGAAACATTAGCATTCGGACAAACATTTTAATCAGGTTATCGCGTATGTACTATGTTTAATTCATAAACGTTTTGCTTCGTAGAGAAAATAGCTACAGTGTGCTGATCAAATACAACCAACCCCGTTTAAAACAATGTAAATAAATAATACACTTATATAAAAAGATTTTCACTTACCCTTTTCCACAAGCTTTCGTTTTCCATTGCAAAGGAAAATAGAGAATTCTACCACGCACTTTCTTCTCACACGAAATGCGGCAGGCGTACCTCCGCTGGCACAACTGATTAGGAGAAAGATACTTTCACCGCTTTTAAAGGGTAAAGGGTATTTGTCAGGGGTACCAACAAAATCTAATACTTTTATTCAAGTTCTGTGAAAATTGGAAAGACTAATGAAGGAACATTATTCAGTCATTCCTTGGAGTAAATATATTATAAATTTGTTTATAATTTATAATAAAAAAGCCTATTGCAACGCGTATTCAGAAATTATTACTTTGAATCTTAAGAATTTTTTATATATTTCAATTTAATTTTGTTTATAGCAAATTCTGTTGAATGATGAAATATTTTAATCCATGTCACGTTTAACTGTTAATTGTATTATTTATGCCTTAAAATAAGTTAAAACGTGGGTGACATTGGGAGAAGTACAGTCCATGCACTTTTCGAGTGGTCTGGTTTCTGAACCACCGTTCATATTTTATTTTGTTCAACTATGAATAAAAGATATATTCATGTATACGTTGTAAATTATTATAAAATACACATTACAAAATACTTTTGAACTGTTCATGGAATTAAGTGCCCCTTCTGGAAATAGCCCAGTTGCTAAAATCGCAGAAGCTATTGAGACAGTCCAATACGCAAACAGTCTAAAGAGATAAGAGCACTTACAGGCCATATTGTACACTTCACCATTTGGTGACAGTCTTTCTTCAAGCGTTAACTTTTTCACAAATTGTGACCAGGTAGTGAAATGTATAATCTATGTACTAATATTAATTATTCCTTAGAATAATAGAGCGGAAGCTAATTTTATTTGCGAGCCACTTACATTACATTACAAATATAGTTTATTTAAAACTGAATATTTGTTTTCAATTTTCTTACTCTGATATACACTCGTTTGAGGATCACAAACCAAGAAAAAACAGCAATCCTATACTACTATATTTTAAACACACACACACTATATGTATATATAAGCTGCTGTATCTAACCGAAAGTACAGTTGCCTTTGCAGTATCTTTGCCAAGAAGGTCCTAGGTTTGAAGTCCAAACAGTAGAGGATTTGCAGCGTAGTGGGCCGATCTAAATATCTACTAAGGAAGCTTTGATGGCAACTTCTCAGGACACTAACTTCCGAGATTTTGAACACAATCCGCTATTTTTAAATCGATGGTTATATAAAATTCATCTTGTTCATTAGAATAGCCGTTTCCTTAAATTTTTGCTTTTCGTGTAATTAAGCTTTGAGTTCAGAAATTAATAACTTATTTTACTTACGTGAGTACGCAACATGTTCCTTCATAATTAATCCGAAAAAATAATTACATATTTTGAAATAAATCTTAATATCCGATATTTCTTAATTACAAAAAACGGATCCATCAGCAAAAATGCCAAAATAACTAAACAGATTGCAACAACTTATATCAACCTTGAAACAGCGAGAAATGATTAAAAACACACTTGTAGCTAATTTATTCAATTATTAACTTATTGCTGGCACAAAATTGTTAAATTATTTTTTTAAAATTGTTCTACTGCTGTACGTAATAAATAGAATCGAGAACAAAGGATAAAGATGGATACCATACTCTATCAGGGAGCTAAGGTATGAGGTGAAATATACTTCCCCATGCATGTGACAGCAGCTGTAAAATGCCTTTGTCTTTCAGAGTATGGATGAGGGTAGGGCTGATCATTTGCAGTTACTGATTAATTGAATGAGTCTCTAAAATCATACAATATAATTAAGGTAAAAAATATTGCAATACAATAAACGAGATTACAGACTAATGTATTCATTAGAATAGGTTAAAACCACATACAATGATAATACACCTGGAACATTGCAATTTTTACAACTGTCAATATATTTCATGCATCATATTTACGAGTGACTTAAATTCTTGTTCCTCTAGTCCTTTCAGAAGATTCACCTGAACACACATTTAAACTTTTTTACAATTTAGTGGGAAAATTATACTCCAATATAATGAATGTTTGTATACGCATCATGCATCATAGGTCAATCTCTCACACTTTCTAGTTCACAGTGCGTCACAATGTGAATATTTTAAAAAAACTAAAGGGGTTTGCGTTCATGTATTTTCAACTTCCTAAAAAGTTTACAGTTTATTGTTTATGACCTTATTAAATACTGTTCTTTGTTGAACCCTATTGCTTCCCTTTCAAGATCATGAAAATATTTTTTTGTCGTGTCTCCCACAAATCCTGAATTCTATTTCTTTTAAATTAAGACTTACAAGTTATAGTTCGAGGTCTCGCCTTATTTAATGTATTCAAACCGACTCTTAAACATTTACAGATGCCCCGAAGGGGAAAATACAACAAAACCAAACAAATCACTTTAAATAAACAATCATTGATTAGATTGTATATAGTATAAAGTACCGCTAACGTCTTTAATTTCAACATCCCTATATAATATTTCTTTCTAGGTACAATTTTAGAACAAATGTTTGTGCAAAAAATCTGTATTCACAGAAGTTTCTCCGCATGAATCATTAGAATCTAAATGAAATCAAGACAGGAAAAAATGTTTGCAATAGTTATCGGTGTGCAAACTCAATAAGTACAACGAACTTCCGCGAATTAACGTCATTAAAGAAATCTTGCCTTCATTAAAACAAGTGTATTTGACGAATTTGGCTAAGACAAAGGACTTGAAATTTTTGAGATTGCTTGGCTTTATCCTGATGAGTCCCTTTCAATATTAGGATCGTAACAAACAAAGGACATCTTTTTAAATATCTTTGTATTAATGATCTATACTGGAAGTATAGCTGGCCTTACCATGAAAGTATAACCATCTTTATTCGCAGTATGTTCCAAAGTGAAGTAAGCCAACCCAGCAAGTATTCCCAGCGCTTAATGTTTGCACTGGGACATCCAGCACAGGAAGATAACATCTGTTGCCGTAGAAGAATTTCTGTAACAATTCTTATTCGAGGCATTTACTTTGGTTCCTGTCATTAGGTGAAAGCTTTCCTCATACCTATAAGCAATTGAGTAAAATTCAAACCGTTGGAAAAATAATTACGAAACGAAAACAAAGTGGATAATTTATCTATTTCAAATTTATATGAATGCATTTATTTATAACATATTTAAACATTTACCACTACTACAATATAGTTGGTCGTAGACAGTAAACAAATTACGTAACAAGGGTAGAATAAAAAAATACTAATTTAACCGGAAATTTTATAAAATATTAATTTATTGCACAAAAGCAACATTTTCGTTAGGAAGGCAAAACGGAGAGTTTTGTTACAAAACCTAAAACTTTAAAATTTAACTAATTCGCAGCAAGAATACCAAAACACACGCTTAAAACTATTTTAGAAATTATGGTTTAGGAAAGGAATTAATCAAGTTTAAGCATAAAATTTAGTATATTGTAGATTCAAATTCGCGAAGCGAAGCTACGTCATTTGTTTTCCTTTGAGAACACTAAAGGTGACCACACAAAAACAAGCATGCAAAACGGTCATGTCTAGTACTCCTCTCGTAAGTAAAAATATAACCTTACAAAAGTCGCGAGGCAGTCTTGGTTCGCTCGTAGTCATTTTAAGTCTCCTCCCGTTGCATTGTGTAGCAGCGCGAGCGTAGTCAGTCGCCGCGGCGCCGGATGTCAAGATTGAGCCAAGTACTCGTACGGGCGGGCGGGCGGCAGGGCTACATCACGTCTCCGATCAAAGGCATGAGTGTCACGACAGCGGCCGCGCGGCCGCAGCAGCCCCGAAGCAAGAGGCGACCTCGAAGGGCCCGTCCATGTCGTCGACGGGCGAGCGAACGCGGGGCGGGAGCAGGCGGCGGACGACGTCCGTCCCCGCCAGGTGCAAGGCCGTGAGGCCGTTGTGGCTGCGCGCGTGCAGGTCGGTGCCGGCCGCCAGCAGCAGGCGCGCGCAAGAGAGGTGGTTGGCGGCGGCCGCGTGGTGCAGCGCGGTTTGGCCCTCGGCGTCCACCTGGAGACGTCATGGTGGGAATGTGTTAGACGACTCAGATTTGTTAGGGAGCAGTGGTTGCCTGTCGTAATTTCTTACTCTGGGATTTAATCTTTCGATGCTTATGGTGGCAGGTTACCATTGTAAAGAAGAAAACCGAGATAAGTATTTTGAATTTAAGACATTCGAGAAAGTTCAAAAGGAAGCTTTTAAAACCGTTTCATCACATTTGTAATTTTTTTTTGTATTCCAGCATTATAAAAGAACCTTTTATGTTGCAAGAAATCGTTCATACTCTGGCACTTTACGGCACAAATGACGACGTATTAGATTTTATGTCACGCAGGATTGCGTCATCACACATTCAGCCAATCTTCGTGAGAGAATTGGGGGCAGGTAGAGCTAAACGGAACAACCGACCTCCTTTTACTCGCACGATGTCAAACATCAGAGTCGTCACAGGGAAGTTGTTTCGCAAAATTAAGTTTGATTCTCTCATAAATGTATAATGCTGTTATATAAAAAATATCGTACGCAACTCTTTTATATTGCTGCTTTATTACATTCGTACAAATTTGAAAACTCGCTCCTAAAGTCGCTTGTTTTCAAAACTATTACTCATGCAATAAAGGTTAACATTATAAACTAATTGCATAATAGTAGTTCATAGCTCTACCTCCCCCCAATTCTCTTGCGACGATTGGCTGAATGTGTGATGACGCAATCATTCGTTACAAATATTAATAAGTCATCATTTGTGCAGTAAAATGCCCGATTACGATCGATTTCTTGCAACAGGAAAGGTTCTTTTATAATGCTGGAATACAAAAAACTACAATTAATGATATGTTATAAAAGCCAGCGTATCCCATTTAATTTTTTAAAGAAAAATAGTTTAACCACAAGCTTAATTGTTAATCTTTAAGTCGCACGGGGACTAAAAGCATCCAGACCATTTGTTTAAACTGACAAACAAAAATAGTATTTACCTTTTCTAGAATTTACAACCCTTTTCAAAAACTTGTTTAATTTTATTTCAAGAAAATAAAATTTGATGTACGTGATAACGTTTCTAAAATAGAACGCGTTCTTGGAAGTGGAGCACTCTTTCAGTCCTTACGAGCGTCCAGGTTCATCCGTAATTGGTTTGCGATGCTCGAGAACAATAGGCTAGGGAGAACAATACTTAACCCTTCAGTGGTCGCTTCATTCATTCGCTGTTTACAATGGGATTTTACTAACTTTTGGCGTGGTCTTTTCAGTACCTTTCGTAGAAGGCCCCCAGCTATTGAATTATGACGAAACATGACTAATAAGCGCCGGAAATATCTTGGATTACAATAGTCCGCACGATCACTCGCGGTTAAATTTATGACCGACGCTGACAACATGAATATTGCTGCAATCCATGCTCTGAATGTTTATGCAAAGAATGACAGAGGAGAAAGGTTGACTAAAAGCGAGATTCTTAAAAATACCCATCGTCTTATGAATAGGGGCGGATTTTAATGAAATGTCATTTCTTTTTACTTTAAGACAATGCTGTTTATTATAGAAATTCATTTTATGTCATGACAAGAAATGATCCATTTTCAGGTCTTTTTAGCAGTTTCCGTCGATTTCGACTAAAGTTATTTGTTACCTTTAAACATAATTTTTCATGCATTTTTCACTGATTTCATTGATTTTAATATAATTTTAATGATACTTTCTTCAAACAATATTTACAAGCTACAACATATGATTACCACAGAGTTCCTGAGTAGCCTATTTGATTGATTCGCCACATGTTATGTCAGCCGTTGCGAGTGCTATGTAATTACGGTTCATGTGACGACTATCGGCGCCTTTGACAGTTCTGCAAATTTCGCCATAAATAAAGGCAAAGATTTTCTTTTAAAGAACAGGCCAAACCAAAATTTGCCAACATAGTTCACATGAACAAAAGGAAGCAACCTCGATTACATCAGTAACATATCCAACAGCTTGAGTTCATTTAAAGTGATTTTAATAAATTTGTTACGTCATTTTTCTTTGTTTTTAGGTAATTTTTAAAGCCTTTTAAGAGCATTTTATTGATTATTTTTGGCAATGTTACAAGTCATCGAAATCCGCCCCCTATCTATAAAACAGAAATTAAAGCAAGATCGAGAGGAAATCTGTGCCGCAATAATAACTTCTACTGTGAATCCGAGAAGGGACAGAAGGGTTAGTAGAGATACCAGAAGGTAACCTGGGACGTTGAGTGGTATGAATAAAAAGCAAGCAATTACGCTTTGCTCGGAGTTTAGGAGATCCTTCTTAGTTTCGTATGAATAAAGTGGGTGAGCAATTGCTCAGTCTCTGAGCACTTGCTCCATCTCTGAGCGTAATCTCAACTGGCGAGCAAATGCTCCGAATTGGTATAAATAAAGTTAAGAGTTTACTCTCTAGAGTGAGCAATTGCTCCAAAATTTCGGAGGGACCTTAGTAGCAGACTTACGTTTGAAAAGTAAGGTAAATTGGCAGATTTTTAACCGTGTGTTGATATGCAGATGCAGCGGACTAAAAAGAATTAAAGATAAGGCAAAATTCTTGTGATGTAGACTATTAGAATCTTTGCCGATTCGAAAAAGACCATGTATGGTTAGTACGATTTTTATTGGCGTTTTTCATATAGCCTATCTTCTATGTTAATTGGCCATCTATTTTTTCTACTTAGAATTTTTATGGATACAGTTTTTTCAAACTTTGTAACTCGTTTCGACCATGGCGTTTCGGCAAAAACTAGCTGGAACTCTGGCGCCTGTTTTTCGTTTCTACTACTCCGATTCAAATTTAAAGAACGAGACAACAATAAGTTGCTCTTTATTCCGCACAAATGTGCGCGACGCGCGTGACTGTTACTCAAGAAACCAACTTTTAAAACTCTTAGCCTTCCCCAGTACTTGTTCACGAGCGAATGCTCGCGAGACATGAGTAAGTTGTTCGGAGACATACGAAGTTTTTATTCATACGAAATGGAGCTTCTGCTCAGTGCTACTTTATAAAAGCTCGCTCAGCTCCAAATCTTTTAACAAAAAAAAGTTATACTGAAAGCTTGTGCGTGTCCTTTTGCTAGAGTAAATTAATTTTTTTAAATAAATTTTAAAATCACAAATACAATTTTAATAAAACGTTCAAGAATTTTCTGACTATCCATGGCAAGACCACCACCGTCTAACTTGAAATGAAAAATTCGCCAGGCAAGGTGGAGGAGGTGGAGGAGGTGTTTACCTCGTGCGGGTCAGCGCCTGCGTCGAGCAGCTCCGCGAGGCACGAGGGGTCGCTGATGGCGGCGGCGAACAGCGCGGAGGGGTAGCCGTGCACGCGGGCGGCCACCGGGGTGCCGCCCTCCAGCAGCGCGCGCACGGCGTGGGCGTGGCCGTTCAGCGCTGCCAGGCGAAGAGCTCGGGCCGCGGCCTCCGTGCCGAACTGCCAGGACACAAATTCCATCCAAAGTCAAACATTATGGAGGCAAAAACCTAAATAGTGGGTTAACAATATTTCGCGATTACAAAATTGTTTCTTATTGTATTCCTATCTAGGGATCTTTTCAGCCCGTCAGCCGATTACTCTTTACGTCCCGATGGGACGCATATTCAACCGTTCACTACACACCAACACACGTGGGCTCCTCTGATCTGAGGTCAGCAGAACGCGAGGCCCTCTACGACAACACAACGTGAGAGATAAGGGACAAACAAACGTGTCCAAGTGGGAACTCGAACCCGCGACCCTTCGGATCGTGGCGTAGAGTTGGTTCACGCTCTTTGCCACTTCGGCCATCTAGATCGGCCAAAATTTTTAATCGTATCTTAGAATTTAAGTTATTCAAAATAGAAATGAAGCATGACGACATGGAATAATGTTAAAATGTTTATTATGAGTTTGCTAAAATCCTTTTGCTTTGTTAATGCATGTATGCAAGTAATATGTTTGACATTTGTCTTTACATCGTGGAGTAAGTTAGGATTACATCGTAGGAGAAAGTTAATGGCACATGCGTGACAAGCCACTTCCCAGCATGTCAAAAAATATCCAATTTGGCACTTCGAAACTTTTGTATATTTTCTCTCCAACATGCCAAGAAAAACGTACTTCAGAGACACTGTCTCTTAATAAGGGAGAAAATTACTGTTTTATTTAAGTAGTCGCGTTGATCAACTTTTCTCTGAAGCGGACCGAACTAAAAAATATCTACTAAAAGCAGCGCTCACGACCACGAGAAAAAATGTAAGAAGACAATAAAAAAGTAATAAAAAATGAACTTTCTTTTATTTAGTATTCTTTCACGAAGTAGAGAATGAAAAACCTTCAAGAACTTTAGATTTATTCCCATAACATTCGATTTCTTTTTTAATATAATATAAAATTATATTCGCTCTAGATTTTGAAAGTGATTAATGAAGTGACCTCGAGACATTCGAGAAAATAAGTCATTTGGGGCCTTTAAGGAGTTAACTGCGTTTTTACGTGCGAGTTGCTCTAACGTGGACGCCAACAAGTCAAGAGGGTGACTCAAGGATGGCTGAAAGTTTACGTATAAGAAACTGACGCGATATCTTTGACAAAATTAAAAAGGTGGGCAAATAATCAAGCGGATAAAAAGTACAAGTTACTACTGCATTTTGTGTAAATTAGTAAAAATGTATAAAATTTAAATGTGAAAATTGTAACTTACAAAATTAGTCAAGGTTGACCATATCAAACTGGGGATTGAATACATATATGTTTATTCTAATTACCTCAACTAGCAGGCTACAATTGAATCACAACACAGCAGCTTTTCACATTGTTTTAAAATCTATGTCTAACCTTTTGGTCATCTAGTGACCGCTGTGATTGTTTTAACTGTATGGGAAACTGCAGTAAATATTTAAGGGCAACACAAACATTTATGCCCGAGGCGGGATTCGAACTCTTGACCTTTCGCAGACGAGGCAGCTACAAACCCTCCAGCCTTAGCGCACCTCTACTATCCACACATGCCTATCAGTTTGCTTCTGCAGTTTGACGTGAAAAAAGAAAGTCTTTTGCGGCGCGTGCAGCCGAGAGTAACAGCTGCCCCAGCAGCGAGCTCACCGCCATCGGGCGCGCAGCGGCGAGAGGGCGACGACGGCGTGGTGGCCGCGGCGGCGGCGCGGGCGAGCGGCGTCGCGCCCGTGGCGTCCTCCGCGCGGGGTCGGCGCCCGCCGCGAGCAGGACGGCGGCCACCTCGGCGTGGCCGTGGCCGCGCCAGGCAAGCGCCGCTCTGGCGGTGGCGCGTGCGCGGGCCGTCGGGCGCGCCGCCCAGGGCCAGCAGCGCCGCACCCCGTGCGTCGCCCAGCTGCGCGGCTCCAGCAGCGCCTCGCCCCACGGGACGGGCACGGGCACGGGCACAGACAGCGCGGCGCCGTGGGGCGCCAACCTCGAGCACACCTACCAACGCGCACAGCATCCAATGATTGGGGATTAACGTTTCTGGCCGGACAACTATGGTCATTAATCTCGTAAAGTAGTGCATAGAGTAAGGTAGTCCAGGGAGGCGACATTCACAAATGGGTGAAATCAATGATTGGTGACTAGCGTTTGAGGGCATGACAACTGCTATGCTAAATTAATCCAGTAATGGTAGTTCATGATGTATCCAGAGCAACGCCGTGGGGCGCTACCTTAAGCCGAAACATATCAACGAGCAAAATTATGGATTTGGTGATGAGCGATCTAGAGATGTCAACTTTTATGGTATTAATCTACGGTATGTGCAACATAGTATACAGGGAACTGTGAGCGGACCTTCCAACGGACAGAACATCAATGTTTGATATGTTTAGCGTCGGATTGCAACATGCCGCCCCACCCTTTATGTTCTTAGCTGCCGACGCGCGTATGTGTGTGTGTGTGTGTGTGTGTGTGTGCATGCGTGTGCGTGTATGCGTGCGAGAGAGACGCGACTGAATAATAAATAAAAGATCGCGCGCGTGAAGGTAACTGCAAAAAAGAGCATAGTATTAACTAGTAAAGTTACTGGAACACCACTGATCATAGCACTCAACCTCCAGAATTTACGCAGAAATTTATCTGTTGACTGCATGTGGGGGCAACAGATGGTAATGTTTTAATTTCACCATTCCCAAATATTTTGAAGTTCATAATTTTTCTCTTTCTTTCCGATCTTACACCAACGAATATCAATGAAAGCAAAGAATATCAAGTTCACTGTGCAAAAAATGTATTATATTAGAAAATTAAATTTTGTATGTTCAGTTCGTGTCGAAACGAGTAATATTCAGTCTTCGAATTTCTAAGGAGTTTAATCTCTCGGGTTATACTACTGTTCAACTGTATCAGAAGGTATTCTCAACCACGAATATATCATGGCAAACTACTAGGTAAAACAAAAGTATAGTTTACTTAATTTAAGCGGGGACACAATTATATAGTCTTATTAATTGGAAATGAATAACTATTTCATACTCTTGTGTGACAAATAACTTGGGAAAAAAAAGAGTCCAGGTTTATCATAACACCGTTATTGAACTTAAGTTTTGGACTAGGAAAGAGTTACAAAATTTATTCGATATTCTCAGTATTTTGACGTGGATCTATGCTTTTAATACGCTGTTCTAGTCTGCTGCAGCTAAAGTCCCGTTTTATCTAGCACACTTAGTGCTCCAAGGTTATCCAACCCTAGTAATGCGCCAACTATAATTTCGAGAAAACCTTTAGTTCATATTCTTACTATGGCACACAATTACAACGTTCCGATTTTTCAAGCATCTTACAACAATGGTTTTACTGTGTTACTTTCGTACATTTTCCTGTTAACAGTTGATATTACTTGAACACATGACTCTTGCATCCCGTCAGAAATCTAGTACTGACGCAATTTGAATGTTATACATAGCAGCGCGTTATGTATGGCCTCCACTCCCACCCCCATAGGATCACTACATTTTGATAAAACATGCTATGCTTCATAAATTCTTGGAATCTTTACTTCAGGTAATAAAAAGGAATAGTTGAATCTCTATATTTAATTTCAGTAGCTTTTAACGAGAATTTTGTTTATATTCTACTTGATTCAACTGAAGCCGAACGTATCGTTTGCGAAGAGAAGGTTCGAATCTATGTTACTCAATAGCTCAGATGAGGATGCAGTGCTAATAATCAAGATAGGATTAACAATTGTACCACAAATAAAAGTGAAGGGGTCCCGATTAGAACTGGCAGAGATTTGTCGACAAGCTTCTGAGAAAACCATTAGCCAGCGGCAGCTCATTAATATTTTAGGTCAGTAGTAACAGCAGAAACTTAAATTGATACAGCGACAGTAATGAGAGAGTTCGGAAGAGCATTAGCTAATCCACGCACAGTTCTGATAATTCAAGCCCCCGTTTTTAACCATTTTGCTTAGACAAACTGTTAGATAATCCAGCGTATGTCAAGTTCAAAAACAGAAAATACTTCTAGCTTATACAACAAATGTGCTGGTCAAATCGCCTGCCCCAGTCATTTTGGAACAAGCGACTCAAACGTGGTGCGTCCTTCCCAATTCTCCGTGCACGTAAGTAAAAGTCATCAAGTTATAAGTGATTGTATTACTTCATGAGTGTCCTACAGCTAACATGGAGCTTCCTTAAACATCAACGATAAAAATAAAAGTTTTCCCACTTACCCTTCTCCACCAGCTTAACTCTTCCATCGCGAATGGTACAAGTGAATTCTACCCCTACCTCGCGAACTATGACAGGTCGGAGCTTCGCTCGTGCTACTGAACAGAACTTTTAGCGCTTATCGCAACTTACAGAGGGTACAATTTGTCACGGATACCAACATAATCAGAGTATGTTTCTATACAATTTCTGTGAAAATGTGAAAATTTAATGGAGATGTAAAATTTAATAATTTCTTGATTGCAAATGTATTACATATATATATATATATATATATATATATATATATATATATATATACATATAAATGTATTTATCATTTATAAAATCATATGTCGCAACTGTATATGTCGAAATTTGTTTTTGCTCTCTCGATAATATTTTTATTACATTTTTTATATCTCAATTTATATTTTTTGTAGTATATTGCGTTTACTGATTAAAAAACGTACAGATGATTTCAGTGGTACACCGAGAGGAAGGGCTCATCAAAATTTGACCAAAAGCTGAAAGAAAATGCTTCTTAAAAATGGGATATCAAAGATCTGCTCTGAAATCATTCATTGATACTTGCATATAAATCAGACTTATAGAAAAACATAATTTAATAAATATTACGATCACATAATTCGGTTAAATGGCATACATGATACACAGTTCATGTAATACTAATAATAACAAAACAAATATGAATTTGAGTATATTAAATTTTCATTCTATATTGTAACCAGAGACACAGATGTAAAATGGGTTGAAATATATGGATCTGGTAAATTAATTAATTTGATTAGTCATATTTGTGAAGTTCAAAGGTTCAAAAACAGTTGTATTCCTCCACGATATTACTCTGCATCAGCTGCTGTACCCACCGACATACTTATGATAGTATCTGAAGTGAATTGAATACTATCAAATGTCAAATTAATTGCTACAATTTGAGATCGGAACGTAAAATCTTCTTTGTATGGTTTAGATTCAGTTTTTATTTATTTTAAATATAGTTTGGCAGGCAAAAGTTTCAGTTCTCGTGAGCTAAAGATTTCATACTACTCACTCGAAAACTTAATAAGATCAACAATTTCAATGTTTTTCTTCAAATAACAAGAACTAGAAATTTCTTATCACAATGTACAAATATTTATGCAAATATTAATGAAAATGAGAAACTGATGATAGGTAGCCACTTAGATTCCGACTCATTAGAAGCAGTAACTCGTAAATTACCAGCAATCGGCAAAGGTGGCTCAAGGCATTAAATGATGTAACTGCAGTGCCTCTGACCGGGACGTCCTAGAGTAGAGTCCCGACGATGGAAGGATTTTTCGACATTAACTATATACCTAGGCCAAATCCAACCGCGGTCTGGTGGAGAACTCTAGCGGCCGATTACTCTGAACGGTAGTTTTCTATGGTTTCTCGATTAACACCAGACGATTGTCGGACGGCCCGCCCTGTTTCCATCATCTACTTTTGCGCTACCCTCAACCCTTGCACTTACATGCACTACACTACCACACATCGGGAGACCAGTGAGGAGGCGGTGCCACGCTAGTGGGAAATACCTGATTAGGGAAAATCCCCGCAAGCTGATTTTGGTCGGCCGCGGATCTCATCATTCAGCGGGGGAAGATCACCGCTACCTCCCGCGACAGAAACATGCGCTACACTTACGGGACTGATTACCTTAGCTGTTGACGCGTCTGTAATCCTTAATAAATCAATAGCAAAATATTATTTACACACTAAGCCGACAATTAAATAAAACAGTGGAAATGCGCGACATACCTAAAAAATTGAACTTTTGCAATGATCGAAAATACAGACCGCCGAAAATAAGACCTGCGCCATTTTTAAACGTCTAATATCCTATTTGAAGAAAGCTTAATTAAAAATTTGGAGTCCTTTTTGAAAAACATAATTGTTAATATTTCACAAAATTTTGCAGAAACTACTCATATTTTCGAAAAATTGTACATCACGTTATTTCAAGATAAAAATATTTGAAGAACATTATTTAATAAGGAAAAAAATCTCTATCTTCAATGTAGTTCTAGATAGTCGCCGAAGAAAAATTGAACCTCTGAATTTCCCAAAATATGGAGATTTCAACAAAATTGAAACCTTCGCCAATTTACAGCATTCCGAAGAAAAAATAATTCAAAAAATTGAGCCTTTTTTAAAAAAAATGTTGAAGCTTCTTGTAAAGTACCTCCCTAATTCAAAATATCCATTTTAAACTCGCAGGGTCTCAAATTCATTCTGATGGGTCAGAAAGGAAATAATTTGGATAAAAGCAAGAAAAACATTATCAAACATGAAAATAGTCATTTCGAAATGTGCTTTGCGATATAAAAGTCCCTGAGGATATGTGATTTATGAATTATTATGTATACATTATGAATATGAATTATGAATACATTTTTTTAAATAATTTGTATTTCACAATTTGTGCTATTGGAAACATTTGGTGAAATTATTAACATATAAGTTATAACATGCATATAAAGACGTGGGGGTAAGATGCACCACTAGGTATATTGGTATTATGTCATTATGGTGTTTGACTAATCCCAAAAATCTTTCACATGAGAAGTAATCAATCATCGGTCAGCGTTATATTAAATGTTTATTAGATTGTGAATATTACTGGGATGACAGTAAACCGTACATGCCCTCTCCTATTTCCAAAACTCAGAAGCGAATCAAAATACTGAAGACTTGGTCGTTTCTCGATTGTATCTTAATATCACTTCACATTCGTATATTAATACCCACCATTACTTATATCATCGTTTCGTAATGTACTCGTACTATTACACGATCTCAGAATTAGTTAATACTGAGATTGCTGCAATCTCCATTCCATTTTCAGATTTTCACAGAAATTGAATAAAATTATATGTTGATTGTATTGGTATCCCTGACAGCGCTGCCCTTTCTTAGGTTGAAAAACAGTCATATATCTGCCAATGGCAAGTGAAGGACTACGCCAGCCTTATTTCGCGACGAAACACACTTTGTGTTAGAATTTCCGGTTTTCATCGACAATGGAAAACTTAGGCTGGCGGGAAAGGGTAAGTAAAAGCAATTTTTATAAATATTATGATCGATTTACAGGTCAGAGTTTAATGGACTTGATTTCAAATGTTTAGATGTAACAGTTTGTCTTTAATCTACAGTTTGCAACCGTTTCTATGAAATAAGATAAAACGACTAATCTACTTCGCGACACCATTAGTAAGATAACAAGCGCAATACTGCACTTCACATGCCGTATATTGAACCCGTTGGTTTTAGAATAGATTTGCAACAAAACAATCACTGGGTTTTCGCAAACTTTAATGTATATCATTCTTTTTGTACTTTGTTAATACATTTGTATTAAGGGTTGTCCTTATTTATAAGAAGTAACGCTAATACGTCTTGACACGGAAAACCGGAAGATCTTAGTTGAGTTCCCGACTGGGGCAGTCAATTCTTTGGAAAAACTGGAAAAGCATTCTCGTCTAATTGTTACACTTAAGTGGCATTGAGTGACAAAATGTATAATAAAATACTAATAGTAATAATAAGAGTAAGAATAATAGCAATAAAAATGATGATAATAATAATGATAATACCGAGCGAAGTGGCTCAGTGCGTAGCGCGCTGACTTCGCAGTCTGTAGGCCAGGATTCGATCTCAGGTCCAGCCATCCTGACCAGGGTTTTCGTGGTTTCTCTCGGTCAGTCAGGGGAATGCTGGGATGGTTCAAAAAGCCCATGATCACATCATCCAATGACACATGTTAATCACTCCGGGATAGAATATAACTGAGCCTCAGAAGAGAACGTGGACAGAAATGGCCCATATGCAAGTAACAAATAACAATAATAATAATAATAATAATAATTATTATTATAATAATAACTAATAAATAATAATAGGAATATGGCGATGAATATATATTTTTAATTGTGTCCACCTCTCAAATTTTGTAATAGAAACAATCAACCCTTAAGAAAGTTCAAAATAGATCCCAAGGTCGATATCGACGCCTTAAAAAGAGCTTATTCATTTAGAACATTCGTTTATAACTATGTTCATTTACAACATAAATATTCTTAGATTCGGCGTGTGTTTGATGAACGTTCAGAAAATTTATGCGAATTAATTAATTCGCAACAATCTAAATTGTTGTAAATTGTGCAATAAACACCTTCTGATCTGTTGTCTTCACATGCTGTAAAAAATGATAATTATATCGTAGGGTACCATCGTTTATTATAGACAATAACATAAAAACTCTTCCACATACTTGATACCTGATAAATAACGCAAATCAGACGTCTGAAACATTGTAGAAGTGTAAAATGCAAATGTTTTTAGTACATCAACAAAAGTATACGGAAAGAGTTGTTTTTGATTGAAATACATTGCTTGATTTCACATTTTTATTCATGTTTTCATGTTTTTATCACGGGTAATGGGGATGATCTTTTCCCGCTGGATGGCGAGATCCGGCACCGACCTATCGGCTTAATGGTAATTTCCCCAACCAGGCATCTCCAACCAACGTGGCACAGCTCCAGGCGGGACAACCGCAGTGCTCTCAACTAGTCTCCTGCAATGTGTGGTAGAGTAATGCATATGATCGTGTGATAGGGAAGGTCAATGAAGAGGGACGAAAGATCGCGGGCGGTCTGTGGCCCATTTGTTAAGGTACAGAGCCGACTGGTGTCGATCGGAGAAACCATGGAAAACTCTCGATCAGAGCAGTTGACCGCTAGAATCCTCCTCTACCCAGCGAGGTTGAATTCGACCTATCTAACAAGCGAGTGTCGAAAATCCTTCCACCGTCGGGTCTCGAACCCTGGGACTTCCTGTCTGGATTGTATTAAGAGCATATCGTATGACATATGTTGAAATTAATGCTGCTGGTCCGTGGCATAAACGTGCGTAGATCCGCTCGTGGTTCGTCCCTCGCCCGCCCCGCGCGCCGTCGGGCAGGGCCTTGCTGGAGGCCGCGCGGAAGGGCGACTGGCGCCTGGTGAACGGGCTGCTGGCCGTGGGCACGCGCCCCGACGCGGCCCGCACGCTCCGCGAGCAGACCGCGCTGTGGCTGGCGGCGCAGCACGGCTTCAAGAAGGTGGCCGAGTCGCTCCTGGCGGCGGGCGCCGACCCCGGCGCGCACGACGACAGGGGCGTCACCTGCCTCCTCCAAGCAGCCGTCGGCGGGCACTTCGCCATCATTGACCTCATGGCTGTTGCACGGCCGGAAGTGGTGAGTAAGCTGACTGGCAGAATTGATTGAGGTGTTTCGACTTCTAAGGTCCTTAGTTCCGTAAGTGCATGGTGTATTGCTGAAAGTGGCGGTGATCATCTCGCTGGATGACGAGATCCGGCGTCGACATACACGTCATGTGGGTTTCCCCAGCTAAGTATCACCACCAGCGGGGCACCGCCTCATCCGGGACAAGCGCTAAGCTCCCAACCGCTCTCCCGACATGTGGCAGTGTACAGCATGTGAAGTGAAAGAGAGTGTACGTAAGTGGTTAGAACAAGACAGATCATGTGTGGGCCGTGACCCGTTTATTAAGGTACGTACTTGGGATTCGCCTGGTGTTGGTCCGAGAATCCTGGATATAGCCGGCCGCTAGCATTCTCCTCCGGACAGCGGTTGAATTCGACATCGCTAGTATGTCTAGCCAGAACGGGACTCGAGCTCTTAGATCAGCAATTCAAAGGCACTGCAGTGACATCAATTGAAGCTCTGAGCCACATAAGCTTGGCTATTTAAATAAAATTAATTTTTATTGTAAACTCTCCATTGAGGATAGGGAATATTACTAGGTTGCAAGGATGGGGACGTTTGTGTTGCACGGTACGGCTTTGCATAACGGGCGCTCACTTTGCACAATAAAATCCTGACGCATTTGTTTGAAAAAGAAAAAAATCTGCTAAAAAAGTCTTCACTGTTTAAAGGACAAGGCCCACCGTGTTGTACAGGGCGCGCTGATTTGTGTTCCGGCAAACTTCACCTGTCCCACGCTTAGTTTCATCCACACTTGAAGTAGTCTATCGACGGGTTCTTGCAAGGTGTAAGGTGTCTGTCACAGTAATCAGTTTTTGTCCAAGGTTTCCTTCCGATGAGCCGCTTTCGTACGAACGGATGATGGTCAACGGATATGGTTGTAGTGATCCCGAAAGACTTTTTCTGTCGACGTCGGAAACCAACTATGGAAGGAAAACCTGTTTCATTTGGTTTTGTCCGCCCGACGTCGACAGAATTTTCGGCCAAACTTGCCTCCACTAGAGTCTAGTGCGCCACTGTCTCACCCAAGTGAGAGCGTAGGCTTCCGTGGCCGGGGTCAGCATTTAATTGGCTGTCCGGGTGATGCCGCGTCCGGGTGACGCATTTAATTGGCATTGGTGCAATTCTGCGACCTTCCTGCGGCATTACGCCTTAAGGAAAGTCGCAGAATGGCGGCCAAAACGTCAGCACCCTTGCCATGGACGCGACGTCACTCGGACAGCCAATTAAATAATGTCTCAGCCAGTTCATAGGTGACACCTGCGCTCAGGAGTCCTGGTAGCGATCATGTTTTGCACTAACTGCTATACCACATGGCTAATACAAGAAGGTAGAATGGAATGTATAGTCGGCGGTGATTGCAAAGTGGACCTTGTTTGAGGAGTCGAATAAAGTTGTTTCAACAAAATTTATATTGGAATGCTATGTAACTGGTATTATGTAGTTATAATCCAAGCGCAATCTTTTATTAAAAGTTAAAAATGTTTTAGTTGAGAAAAGACGTTAACGTTAGATCGACGGACGAAAATTGTAGCCCTACCTAATGTTACGCTAGGCCTATGACCTAACTTGACGGGATTCACTCTCGTTTTAGTCCCGATTCTAGGGGCCTGCATCAGCAAATAAACAGCTGGAAAAAAAACACACGAAATATTTCCCCCACACACAAAAGTAGCAACCCCGCCGCTCAATAACAGCATATAAACTATTCTGACACAACAATAAATTAAATATTTTAACAACAAGTCTTTACGAATACTGTAATAACAGAGCATGTTATGGTATTCAGGTACAAAGTAAAACTTTTTTTACATTACAAGAATGCCAGAAACGATGCTATCCCACAACAGTACACGTGAATGGTAAATATTTAATAGCGGTCGGTCTTTTTCTTGTAGTGTTGCTGTCGCGCTCTTTCAGCTGTGTGATAAGCAGTGTAGCAATAAATCTGAGAATTCATTGGGAGCGCACAGTATCAGAATAGGTGGAATGATTCAATCAAGTATTTCCATTTCAGTCAAAATCGTAACTGCTTATTTTTATTTTTCCCGGTCTCTAACAAAATGGGCTCCTATTACGTGACCAAAGACTGCATAGTTATGTCAATTTCTGTGTACATTCTAAATTTGTAATGCAGATTTTTTTACTCCTTTATGGATTTGGACCTCTTCTTGGTACGTCTGCTGTATTAGTTTCATACATTCGAGTGGTGGGTATTGTGTGTTTCCGGGCGTGTCAAGTACTTAATCACAGAAGTGTAGAGTTCACGTTATACCCCTGAAGGTGGCGGTGTTCTTCCCCCGCTGAAACGAGATCTGACATTGACCTGCACGTCCGCTTCCCCATTTCTAATGTTCCCATTTGCGGTCTCTCTTCAGCGGGTCTTGCGCTGAGGTTGGCTTAAATCTGCTGAATGATTACTGACATGTGTGAGGGCATATTTGTGTACTTTTATGTGGAGAACAGAGGACGAGACAAGAAAAAAGAGGCCATGCGCGGCTATTGTTAGAGTACTGCTCCGAAATTCGTGTTTTACACACTAATGTAGTCTTAACGTTACTGTGATTTTGGAACATTGTCACAATATTACTCAAAGTTATGTGACAACTATTTCAATTTTTTAACTCTACGTTGCATAAACTCGAGAAAAACCGCTGACGGTTTTTGAATTGAAAGTGTTTATTGGAATCTGTTTATGCGGGTGTCCAGGGAGGCAACATCGAAACTTCGACATTTGTTTAGAAAGCAATATTAACCCAGAAATTAAAAAAAGCACCCAATTTACACAAATCAACTGCTTTTTTTGTGTTAATTTTTCGTTCTGAACAAAATATTAATTTATTTCGTATATAAAAAACTATTTACATGTTTCTTTACACTTTCTCTATTTTTGCCTAGAAAGCATTTTTTCAAACCAAATTTTGAGTGCTCACTGCGGCTCAACCATTCGGAATATTACAGTAGTTCATTAGGCAAAATATGCTTAAAATTGTCTTCAAAGTTTATTTGCGACGTTAGTTTCGACGTTTCACGGACGTTTTCCGGACACCCCATTTCTCTCTCTCTTCCCATACACACACACGCACACACACACACACACACACACACAACAAACTGTCGCTTCCGATGGATCAAATTATTATTATTAACTTTTCCATTTTTTTACTTCTCTCCACTACTGCATCCACAGCATAATTTAAGGCTAAAAACTTATACGGATTAGTTCGCAAATACACTGAGTACCTTAACACACTGTAAACGACAAAAAAATATATTTCCATTTAAACTTTTGAATAAAATCTCTTTTCACGATTTGTTTATTTGAGATTAAAGTGATATTTGATGTGTAAGAAAGGCACAAATTGTGACATATTTCTTAACGATAATATAATATTGGGAGAAAGTATGTGCTGTTTGTAGCACCTAGTTTCTTTGTTGTTATGCTGATGCGTCACAAAAGCCATCGCAGCCCTTTCCGAACACTGCCTCCGCATTTTGAAATTTAAAATATATTCAGTTATTTTGAATAATAGAACTGAATAAAGCCAGAAATGTAAACTAGATATAGATGACCCAATGAATCTGTGTTGAACTCTTCCAGCCCAAGCTAACCTAACTGAACACCAACTTACAATCGAATCGATTTTCTCTCTTCCAGCTTCCAAACTGAAAGCGCCGCAACTGCTCTGCCCCGCTGATCCTTTTGCCACTACCCGCAACCGTGCGTCCCTCCTGAGAGCGGCACCCCCGTGGAAACGCGCCCCCAACGCGCCACATCTCTTCCACGCTGTTCGTCGCCGCCCACGTTGCGATTCGCGTGCTCGGTGCGGAGCTGCTCCACGCCTGCGCTGACCTCGACGAGTAATGCCCTCGTTCCTGCTTGTTCTAGAATAGATTAGCATAGTAATGCGAGTGCTTTGATTGTCATAAATTTCCCACTCGTGGACGAGGAGGATTATCTGAGAAATGTTCTATAAGCCACGAGTGTATTTAATAGAACTCATTCACGAGTGAAATTATGCCAACGGAGTTGCGAAAACTTGGCCCGACATGTTAAAATATGAAAAATGTATATTTTAAAATCAAATTGTTATGTTTATAGTACACACGCTGTTCATTGGACATTCACGTCAGCGATCGATATGTAACGCTTTTAGTTAAGATAAGGAGTCCAGTTTGATTGGCCAGTAGGTAGAAACGTATGAAAATGTCCGCTGATTGCGCATATTGGTATGCATAGCGTTAAACACGAACAGCTTTAATTTCACGAGTGAAGTAGTCAAGTAAAATACATCTCTATTAAGCTACAGATTGATTCAGAAAAATGCGCGAGGACTATTATAGAATATTTATAAAAAATATTGTCAATTTGTGAACAATATAATAAATACTTTAAGCTTTTTTAACTTTAGGAATTGTGTGGTTCTATTGATTCATTGTTCGCATCAATTTCAATTATATATAACTCGTAAAGTAATAAACGTGTTATTTAACACTCAACACGTCAACCTTTTAAGAAAACATCGGAGCTTTTCTATGTAGCAGAAAATGTTATGTTGTTGAACAGTTCCCCCATCCACATAATGTGGGCGCGAAATTCTATCTTCCCATACCGTCCGACAAACTGAGCACGCTTCGATCCAGGTAGGCGCGCGTTACCAATCGCTTCAGGCACGAATCTTGGTGTCTATATGATTGCAGCATACCGTGGGGCAGAAATAGCGCAGTTCACCGAGGCGGGACTACCATTGTTTACTATGTAGGGAAATATTATAGTAAATTATTAATGAAATATATATCTACGTGATGTGGCTGGATGTTCAGTAATATATATAATTAGAACAGATTTTTTTCGGAAGAAAAGTCTCGATCTTCAATACTGTAGTTGTAGAGTAGACTTGACTCCGAAATAATTA